ACAGACCACGAACAGACAACACTTGTCCACGAATAGCCACTGATGTGTTTTTTTTTTTTTTTGGAAAGCTTCGAACTAGTTCCGAAGATTGGAGAGCCATTTAATTTATAAAAGAGAAAAAAAAATTGGTAAAATATTAAAAAATCAAGAACAGACTAAGAACAAACCAAGAACCGACAACACTTGACCAAGAATAGACAATGATGTTGTTTTTTTTTTTTTTTGGAAAGCTTCGAACTAGTCCCGAAGATTGGAGACATATTTAATTTATAAAAGAGAAAAAAAATTTTGGTAAAATATTAAAAAACCAAGAACAGACTAAGAACAGACCAAGAACCGACAACACTTGACCACGAATAGACAATGATGTTTTTTTTTTTAGAAAGCTTCGAACTAGTCTAAAGGATTGGAGTGACATTTAATTTATAAAAGAGAAAAAAAATTTGGTAAAAAAGAAAAAATCAAGAACAGACCAAGAATAGACCTATAACCGACAACACTTGACCAAGAACACTAATGTGTTTTTTTTTTTTTTGAAAAGCTTCGACTAGTCCCGAAGATTGGAGAGACATTTAATTTATAAAAGAGAAAAAAAAATATGTAAAATATTAAAAAACTAAGAACATACTAAGAACATACCAAGAACAGACCAAGAACTGACAACACTTGACTAATAATAGACAATGATGTTGTTTTTTTTTTTTTGGAAAGCTTCAAACTAGTCACGAAGATTGGAGAGATATTTAATTTATAAAAGAGAAAAAAAATTTGATAAAATATTACAAAACTAAGAACAGACTAAGAACAGACCAAGAACAGAGCAAGAACCGACAACACTTGACCAAGAATAGACAATGATGTTATTTTTCTTCGAAAGCTTCGAACTAGTCCAAAAGATTGGAGAGACATTTAATTAAAAAAAGAGAAAAAAAAATTGGTAAAAAAAGAAAAAACCAAGAACAGACCAAGAACCGACAACACCTGACCAAGAATAGCCAGTGATGTGTTTTTTTTGTTGGAAAGCTTCGAACTAGTCCCGAAGATTGGAGAGACATTTAATTTATAAAAGAGAAAAAAAATTGGTAAAATATTAAAAAACCAAGAACAGACTAAGAACAAACCAAGAACCGACAACACTTGACCAAGAATAGACAATGATGTTTTTTTTTTTTTTTTTGGAAAGCTTCAAACTAGTCCTGAAGATTGGAGATATATTTAATTTATAAAAGAGAAAAAAAATTTTGGTAAAATATTAAAAAACCAAGAACAGACTAAGAACAGACTAAGAACAGACCAAGAACCGACAACACTTGACCAAGAATAGACAATGATGTTATTTTTTTTAGAAAGCTTCGAACTAGTCCAAAAGATTGGAGAGATATTTAATTTATAAAAGAGAAAAAAAATTTGGTAAAAAAAGCAAAAACCAAAAACAGACCAAGAACCGACAATACTTGACCACGAATAGACAATGATGTTGTTTTTTTTTTTTTTGAAAGCTTCGAACTAGGCCCGAAGATTAGAGAGATATTTAATTTATACAAGAGAAAAAAAATTTGGTAAAAAAAGCAAAAACCAAAAACAGACCAAGAACCGACAACACTTGACCAAGAATAGCCAATGATGTTGTTTTTTTTTTTTTTTGAAAGCTTCGAACTAGTCCCGAAGATTAGAGAGATATTTAATTTATACAAGAGAAAAAAAATTTGGTAAAATATTAAAAAACCAAGAACATACTAAGAACAGACCAAGAACCGACAATACTTGACCACGAATAGACAATGATGTTTTTTTTTTTAGAAAGCTTCAAACTAGTCTAAAAGATTGGAGAGACATTTAATTTATAAAAGAGAAAAAAAAATTTCGTAAAAAAAGAAAAAACCAAGAACAGACCAAGAACCGACAACACTTAACCAGGAATAGCCAGTGATGTGTTTTTTTTTTTTGAAAGTTTCGAACTAGTCCCGAAGATTGAAGAGACATTTAATTTATAAAAGATAAAAAAAAATTGGTAAAATATTAAAAAACCAAGAACAGACTAAGAACAAACCAAGAACCGACAACACTTGACCAAGAATAGCCAATGATGTTGTTTTTTTTTTTTTGGAAAGCTTCGAACTAGTCCCGAAGATTGGAGAGATATTTAATTTATACAAGAGAAACAAAATTTGGTAAAATATTAAAAAACCAAGAACATACTAAGAACAGACCAAGAATAGACCAATAACCGACAATACTTGACCACGAATAGACAATGATGTTATTTTTTTTAGAAAGCTTCGAACTAGTCTAAAAGATTGGAGAGACATTTAATTTATAAAAGAGAAAAAAAATTGGTAAAATATTAAAAAACTAAGAACAGACTAAGAACAGACCAAGAATAGACCAATAACCGACAATACTTGACCACGAATAGACAATGATGTTATTTTTTTTAGAAAGCTTCGAACTAGTCTAAAAGATTGGAGAGACATTTAATTTATAAAAGAGAAAAAAAATTGGTAAAATATTAAAAAACTAAGAACAGACTAAGAACAGACCAAGAATAGACCAATAACCGACAATACTTGACCACGAATAGACAATGATGTTATTTTTTTTAGAAAGCTTCGAACTAGTCTAAAAGATTGGAGAGACATTTAATTTATAAAAGAGAAAAAAAATTTAGTAAAAAAAGAAAAAACTAAGAACAGACCAAGAATAGACCAATAACCGACAATACTTGACCAAGAATAGCCAGTGATGTGTTTTCTTTTTTTGGAAAGCTTCGAACTAGTCCCGAAGATTGGATAGACATTTAATTTATAAAAGAGAAAAAAAATTGGTAAAATATTAAAAAACTAAGAACATACTAAGAACATACCAAGAACAGACCAAGAATAGACAAAGAACTGACAACACTTGACCAATAATAGACAATGATGTTATGTTTTTTTTTTTTTTTTGGAAAGCTTCGAACTAGTCCCGAAGATTGGATAGACATTTAATTTATAAAAGAGAAAAAAAAATTTGGTAAAAAAAGAAAAAACCAAGAACACACCAAGAACCGACAACACTTGACCAAGAATAGACAATGATGTTATTTTTTTAGAAAGCTTCGAACTAGTCCAAAAGATTTGAGAGACATTTAATTTATAAAAGAGAAAAAAAAATTTGGTAAAAAAAGAAAAAA